GAGCTCACAGGCCGAATATTCACACCTCAAGAGCCGCAGAAACAGGATGCGCTCCCTGGTGTTCAGTGCGACCATCCGAGCTCCAACCAGCGGCTGCTAAAACCTGTGCGTAAAAGTGGCGCACGTCCATCCAACTGTAGCCATTACGCATCGCAATCTCTCTGGCATATCTTAAATCTAAGACAAAGTACAGGCACATATCTTTAGAGCACTGTTTTTAGAGGCATTATGCAGTCATTTTGAAGCAACTCTCTTCTGCACAAACATGGACGAAGCAGAGAAATGACAGACGAACGGAGCACGTATGTTTCTAATTAGGACCAGTGCCACAACACACGCGGTTAATCGATTTCAATGGAATGTTTTGTGAAGGCTCCTTAAACTTCAAAGTCTATTGTTTCACGTTCACTGCTTTGTTTTTGATTTCTCGTTTCATCTTGTGTGATCAAAAAGAGATGGCGCTCTCTTCTATCAAAGGAGAATGACACAGCTCTTTAGCGCGGTCCAGTGTTGTGTGTGTCACGTGACAGAAAGGACAGGTTTACGTCACATGTTAACATGTCTGCACATGTTTCTGCCCCGTAATACGGATTTGTTTTATGCAGGCGATGGTTTCATATAAAAATCTTTACAATAAGACCCGCTCTGACCCTGACTGTGTTTTATCGTTACGCATCATAAGAACTCATTGTAATTTTACATTCTGAAAAAATGCAATAATGATAATTGTGAAAAGCTTCCAAATGTTTTAGGTTATTTGAAAAAAGCCTGAATACTGACTGTTATGTGTTAGCATCAAGACTCCGAGAATTCTGAAACTACTGCCGTCTTTTTGACTGCTCCCAATCAAACCAATGGAATTCTGATAAATTTCCCTCGGAAAAAGTATAATTATTCAGATTTATTAAACGTACAGTCAATTTATTTACAGTCAATACAGCTAAAAGACTAAATGCTAACTGCTGACAGTAAACGGTGTGTTGCTATGGTAACTAGTACTGGCTTTTAGAATCACTCATATTTCAAAAATGAAAAAAGAATAATGAAATAAACGAAATTAATAATAACATAATAAACAAACTACATATTGACAGTCACAATACTTAAAATGTACATGCTGAGTGATTACACTTCCGAAACTAAAGCCCGTCAAATTGACTGGTCTGGGAGTTCCATTGTTAAAGTGCAGGATTCACACAGGCTTCTTCTCCTGCTCCCAGACTCTCAGTACGGGTGATAAGTGCACCGGGTTTGGAGAGGCCCCCAATCATGGATCTATTATAATAACGCCCCCAATAGACATTTGCGCAGCGGTCTCCATCATGAACGTCCGCATGAGAATAGCGTCGCTTACCACCCTATGATGAAGTGCAAACAGGCCATCAGCAGCGGCGTGAGTCTGGCGTCAATTCACACACCCGGATGGAAGTGGCTCCAAATGCAGACTAATGTGGCACAGGCGTAAAAATAACACCCCAGACTCACACCTGCGCAGGATTGTGTTGGCACTAAGTCATTTTACTGCAAGAACAAGACGTTGTCAATGAATTCAGTTATTACAATGAAGCTTCCAACACTCTGGGGTTAAATGAGACGTAATCGAATTGTGTCAGCGAGTACTGAGAATGTATGGAACTTCTTGGGGTTTAAATCACTTCTTAAGAAAAAAAATATAAATATCAGACTTCCTTTACCTGTTTGTTGTGAACTTGTGACTGTTCCACATTGTTTTTGTGTTTTTGTCATGGGTCCTCTGTCTGCTTTATTTTCGTGTACGTTCATATTGTGTGTCATAAGGATGTTATAATGTATTGTGTTGTTTTAAGTTGACAGTGCAGCATTTGAAAAGTTCAGTACAAAGAAAGATGTGTTATTGATATCAAATGAAACCATGAATCATCCTTAATGTTTTGGTATTGCATGTTTGATTCTTTTGGCTGTTACATATGTCACTAAATCATCCTAAATCCTCTTTTCACAGTTGGAATAGTTCAGTTTATATATTTAGTTTTTATTGTGTTAAAGGTCCTTCTGCATGTTTACGTGGTCATCGTGTTTATTCTTCCACAGTTTCAGATATAACACATCCACAAACATAATGTTCCAAAGTTTGGTTTCTTTTCCGAAAAGAAAACTACCTCCAGAAAGTAACAAATGGTTTTTCTAATGGAGGCTCTAAACCCAGATCTTATCACATGTCACACTTGTTGAACACCCACTTTTGCCAAAACTCATAAAACTGATTATTATCAAATATCCCCAATCAGTCTTTTTAGTCCAAACACATTTGAGTTTGCCCCTTTGTGAACTCTGGAAAATAAATCAGCCGTGAGCTGCTCTACAGTAATGTAAACTTCAACCACAAAGCATTTGTTCTGGCCCCCAAGGGCCCCCAAGAGCCCCCAAGGGCCCGCTGAAGGACGCTCTGTTTCTCAACTGTTCATTTGATGGGAACCTTTCCCAGATCTAAATAGAGCTAAATAAATGAGACTCTTGTTGATATGAAGATACACACATCTAAACACTTGAGTGAAAATGGCCGTCAGCCTCTGGCTCTGTCAAACAGAGAGGCCCAAAGGTACGAAGCACAGGGATTAAGTGGCATCGTCGCAGCTGGTGAATTGCCCAAGTATTGAGGCGATTTACAAATATATCTGTGGTAAAAGTCACTAATTGCTTTCAATCAACTCTATTTTAAAGACAGGCAAATGTATTTGTATAGCACAGTTCATACACAAGGAAACTCAAAGTGCTGCACAAGAAAGACACCGACTGTTTTTTCTTGGATTTGAACATTGTCAGAAGCCGGGCTCACATTTTCAGGAAGACTGTTCCAGATTGTAGCTGCGGAAATCTGAAATGCTGCCTCCTCGTGTTTAGTTCTGACTCTGGGCACCAGCAGGAGGCCAGTCCCTGTGCTCCTCAGAGTCCCAGCAGGAGGCCAGTCCCTGTGCTCCTCAGAGTCCCAGCAGGAGGCCAGTCCCTGTGCTCCTCAGAGTCCCAGCAGGAGGCCAGTCCCTGTGCTCCTCAGAGTCCCAGCAGGAGGCCAGTCCCTGTGCTCCTCAGAGTCCCAGCAGGAGGCCAGTCCCTGTGCTCCTCAGAGTCAGTGTTGGTTCATATGGCACTAACATGTCACAGATGTACTTTGGTTCGAGACCATGGAGAGACTTGTAACAGACACTGCTGCTTTAAAGTCTATTCTCTGAGCCACAGGTGCAGAGCCCTGAGACCAGGACTAATGTGATGGTACTTCCTGGTTCTAGTCAGGACTCGAGCTGCAGCTGTTGTGATCAATCCATTACAGTCATCTCCAACCTCCTGGAGACAAACGTACGGCCCAGAACCTCCAAGTCCGCTCCAGACACTAAATCTTTTACGCATGCTCCTTATAGACTATAGCACGCTCGTTGTGGCATTCCAGCTATTTTCATGTGTTTCTGTTAAGTCACTTATAGGTCTTTGGATGGACCACACTTGAAATAACAGCGGTAGCAGCCAGCGCCCACGGTCCGCCATACATTCCTCACTGTACATGATGCACAGTGGGAAACTATTGAGTGTCAGCTGGTTAAAGTGCGGCGGACCACATACCCAGGACTCCTTCAGGCTTAATCAGCATTATGGGGTGTGAAAATCATAAATCTGTTGAGGTGGTTATGGAAAAGAAAAACAAAAAGTCATCAGGACCCACATCAAAGCCACACGTCAGCAGTAAAGTTGAGTGCATATGGGGCAATTAGGGCCATTACAGCGGGGTCAAAAGGTTAAGTACTAATTATCAAGAAAGATTGGGGATAGAAATGAGCGTATTCTCTCAGATGGACGCCACATGGAAAAGACAGACCAAAATATAAATGTTAAGAGGAGACTGTATGACTAAGGGATATGGAAAAATATTCGACATGCCAGCAGGATCAGAGGAATCGGTTTTAGTATTGTGTGGGTAAATGGTAATGTAGGCAAGTGTAAGACATTTTTTGACGGTTGCTACACAACTCCAAGTGGAAAATTGTGTTTTCTATCTTTAATTGTGTACACATACATGGTGTTTAACTGTTTTTAAACTTTGATTTGATACTATCCTCAAGTTTGATTTGATATTTGAGACAGTACTGTGATTATTTTAATGCAATCTTGTCTTGTTCAGCACTTTGAGTTGCCTTGTATGAATTGTGCTTTACAAATAAACTTGCCTTGCCTTGCCAAAAGTACATAAGCATAAAACAAGCTAAAAAACGTGCAGGAAACAATTGTCACTGTGAAATAGATTGACAAAAGACAGCATGTATAGTCTGGTTAGTCTGCCTTTTTCTTTCATACAAAACTGTTGGAACAAGCAAGATGTATTGTTTATGAAAAAATAAAAATAAGTCAAGTATCCCAGCTTTAATAGGATAATAAATAGTATAATAGCTCTTTGTTGTGAGGGTGAAACTGTTAGTTACTTTGTCAATCGTAAAGTCGCCATTAGCCAATATTACAATGAGATTTCATTAGTGCTTCAAAGTTCATAGACAAACCAACCCGTTTTGGGGCTGCTCTCACTCCCTTTGATCAAACCATAAGCATCGTGTAGCTGTTAATGAGTTTTGATTGAAAATGAATTGGCCTCAATAATCGTTTTCAATTGAAGTGTCCCATGCCTCCACCCCCCCCCCCCCCCCCCCCCCCCCCCTCCCTACTCTCTCCCCACTCTCTCCCCACTCTCTCCCTGCCCCATCAGCCTTCTCCTCCTCCCGCAGTGGCTTCTCCGCGGATGTCAGGGAGCGCGCTATAAAGACCAAAGGGATGGACTTAGGAAGAGCTTCTTCTTAGTCTGTGGAGAAACGCGTAAAGGAGCGTGGAATCTCGTACTTACTGGATGCGCAACTATCCATCAGTGGATTTAATATCTGTGTGACTGGATATACACTCGTTGTTGCTTTGTTTTGAAATAGTGGAGTATTATTATTATATTTTTTTGTCTGAAGTTTTTTGGCGTCTCGGTGGACCTTGCTGGGATGCTGGTTCTATCTGTGCTGTGCGTCCTGAGCTGTGCGTGGGGGCACTCCGAGGCGGCCTCCCGGCTCAAGTCCCCCGCGCTGCCCATCCAGTCCGAGAGAGAGCCGCTCCCCTCCAAGGGCTTGTCAGGTGAGTGGCTTTGCAGTGTCCCGTAAAAGCAGACAAGAACTGTTTTTGGAGGCTTGGTTCAACCGCGACAGGCATTTTACGCACCATTACGCACGGCTTGATGGTGACGTTAACGTGATATTTTTCACTTTAGGCTGAGCGTGGCATCTCGTATCCTACTAAAAGTGCATTTTGTGTATGTATTTGTACTTGTTTATTTGATAGACTAGCACACTATTGCTCAAATATAGTTTCCAACCATAGTCCATAGACAGATAAAGTAACACATGTAGGTCAGATTCTACAAACATACAAAACAGACATCACGAAACAATTTTAAAGAGTCTACAGATCACGTGACTGGTTTGTTTTTACTCATAGTTTGAGTTTCTCCTGTATGTGCAGAGGAAGCCTGCCCGAGATGTAAGTGGCCCTCGCAGATAATAAACAACAAACTTTTTCCAACTTAGATTTCAAATAAATAAATACTATCCTATATCATTGCAGGCGACATTCAGTTTCCAATAGAGTAAAAAAAAAAAACACACACACAGTCCATTGGTTTTGCTTGGTTACGCACGTTATAGACACGTTCCCTATGTGTTCCCCAGCCCCTACCTCTTGTAAACTGGCAGCAAACATGTGACTCATAACCGCACTGAACAGCGTTTGATTCATGTGTGAAAGTCCCCTGCGTTCAAAGCACTTGGCACATGGTTTCTCTAAAAAGGGGTAATTAACTGCAGGACATAGCCCGCATATTGTGGTGGCTTAAGGATGTTATAATTGTATTGTGTTGTTTTAAGTATGACAGTGCAGCAATTGAAAAGTTCAGTACAAAGAAAGATGTGTTATTGATATCAAATGAAACCATGAATCATCCTTAATGTTTTGGTATTGCATGTTTGATTCTTTTGGCTGTTACATATGTCACTAAATCATCCTAAATCCTCATTTTTCACAGTTGGAATAGTTCAGTTTATATATTTAGTTTTTATTGTGTTAAGGTCCTTCTGCATGTTTACGTGGTCATCGTGTTTATTCTTCCACAGTTTCAGATATAAACACATCCACAAACATAATTGTCCAAAGTTTGGTTTCTTTTCCGAAAAGAAAACTACCTCCAGAAGTAACAAATGGTTTTTCTAATGGAGGCTCTAAACCCAGATCTTATCACATGTCACACTTGTTGAACACCCACTTGTTTTGCCAAAACTCATAAAACTGATTATTACAAATATCCCCCAATCAGTCTTTTTAGTCCAAACACATTTGAGTTTTGCCCCTTTGTGAACTCTGGAAAATAAATCAGCCGTGAGCTGCTCTACAGTAATGTAAACTTCAACCACAAAGCATTTGTTCTGGCCCCCAAGGGCCCCCAAGAGCCCCCAAGGGCCCGCTGAAGGACGTCTCATGTTTCTCAACTGTTCATTGATGTGAACCCCTTTCCCAGATCTAAATAGAGCTAAATAAATGAGACTTCTTTTGATATGAAGATACACCACATCTAAACACTTGAGTTGAAAATGGCCGTCAGCCACTGGCTCTGTCAATCAGAGAGGCCCAAAGGTTACTAAGCACAGGGATTAAGTGGCATCGTCGCAGCTGGATGAATTGCCCAAGTATTGGTAGGCGATTTACAAATATATCTGTGGTAAAAGTCACTAATTGCTTTCAATCAACTCTAATTTTAAAGACCAGGCAAATGTATTGTATAGCACAGTTCATACACAAGGAAACTCAAAAGTGCTGCACAAGAAAGACCACCGACTGTTTTTTCTTGGATGTGAACATTGTCAGAAGCCGGGCTCACATTGTCAGGAAGACATGTTCCAGATGTAGCTGCGGAATCTGAAATGCTGCCTCCTCGTGTTTAGTTCTGACTCTGGGCACCAGCAGGAGGCCAGTCCCTGTGCTCCTCAGAGTCCCAGCAGGAGGCCAGTTCCCTGTGCTCCTCAGAGTCCCAGCAGGAGGCCAGTCCCTGTGCTCCTCAGAGTCCCAGCAGGAGGCCATGTCCCTGTGCTCCTCAGAGTCCCAGCAGGAGGCCAGTCCCTGTGCTCCTCAGAGTCCCAGCAGGAGGCCAGTCCCCTGTGCTCCTCATAGTCAGTGTTGTTCATATGGCACTAACATGTCACAGATGTACTTTTGTTCGAGAACCATGGAGTAGACTTGTAACGACACTGCTGCTTTAAAGTCTATTCTCTGAGCCACAGGTGCAGAGCCCTGAGACCAGGACTATTGTGATGGTACTTCCTGGTTCTAGTCAGGACTCGAGCTGCAAGCTGTTGTGATCAATACATTACAGTCATCGTCCATCCCTCCTGGAGACAAACGTAACGGGCCAGAACCTCCAAGTCCGCTCCCGACACTAAATCTTTTACGCATGCCCTTATAGACTATAGCAACGCTCGTTGTGGCATTCCAGCTATTTTCATGAAGTTTTCTGTTAAGTCACGTATAGGTCTTTGGATGGACCACACTTGAAATAACAGCGGTAGCTGCCAGCGCCCACCGGTCCGCCATACATTCCTCACATGTACATGATGCACAGTGGGAAACTATTGAGTTTCAGCTGGTTAAATGTGCGGCGGACCACATACCCAGGACTCCTTCAGGCTTAATCAGCATATAGTGGGTTGTGAAAATCATAAAATCTGTTGAGGTGGTTATGGAAAAGAAAAAAAAAAAGTCATCCAGGACCCACATCAAAGCAACACGTCAGCAGTAAAGTTAGTTGCATATGGGGTCAATTAGGGCATATACAGCGGGGTCAAAAGGTTAAGTACTAATTATCAAGAAAGATTGGGGATAGAAATGAGCGAATTCTCTCAAGATGGACGCCACAGGAAAAGACAGTACCAAAAATATAAATGTTAAGAGGAGACTGTATGACTAAGGGATATGGAAAAAATATTCGAACTTGCCAGCAGGATCAGATGAATCGGTTTTTAGTTATTGTGTGGGGAAAATTGGTAATGTAGGCAAGTGTAAGACATTTTTTTGGACGGTTGGCTACACCACACAATAACTTACAAGTGGAAAATTGTGTTTTCCTATCTTTAATTGTGTACACATACATGGAGTTTAACTGTTTTTAAACTTTGATTGGATACTATCCTCAAGTTTGATTATGATATTTGAGACAGTACTGTGATTATTTTAATGCAATCTTGTCTTGTTCAGCACTTTTGAGTTGCCTTGTATGAATTGTGCTTCATTACAAATAAACTTGCCTTGCCTTGCCAAAAGTCACATAAGCATAAAACAAGCTAAAAAACGTGCAGGATACAATTGTCACTGTGAAATAGATTGACAAAAGACAGCATGTATAGTCTGGTTAGTCTACTGCCTTTTTCTTTCATAACAAAACTGTTGGGAACAAGCAAGATGTATTGTTTATAAGAAAAATTAAAAATAAGTCAAGTATCCCAGCTTATAATAGGATAATAAATAGTATAATATAGCTCTTTGTTGTGAGGGTGAAACTGTTAGTTACATTGTCAATCGTAAATGTCCCATTAAGCCCAATATTAACAAAGAGATTTCATTAGTGCTTCCAAAGTTCATAGACAAACCAACCCGTTTTGGGGTGCTCTCACTCCAACAACTCCCTATTGATCAAACCATAAGCAATCGTGTAGCTGTTAATGAGTTTTGATTGAAAATGAATTGGGCCTCAATAATCGTTTTCATTGAAGTGTCCCATGCCTCCACCCCCCCCCCCCCCCCCCCCCCCCCCCCGCCTCTCCCCAACTCTCTCCCCACTCACTATCATGCTCCCTGCCCCATCATCCATCTCTCCTCCCGCAGGGGGAAGGGTGTGTGGGGTGGGCAGCGGCAGGGTTGGCCAGGGAAGGGGGGGATATAATTAAGGCAAGGGGGGGGGGGGGGGGGGGGCAAAGTTGGGTGGGGGTGGACTAAAGGGGGGGGCAATAGAACGGGGGGGGTGGGAAGGGAAGTGTGGGGGGGGCGAGGGGGGCGGGTATGGGGATCCCCTCCCGCTTGGGTGTGGGGAGTGGGCGGGCGGGGGGTCCAAAACACTAAAGGGGGGGGGAGGGCTAGGCGAGCACCGGTGGTTGGGTTGTGCATAGAGCAGGGTAGGTGGGGGGTGGGGGGGGGGGGTCGCATAGTGGTTGGGGGGGGAGGGGGGGGGGGTAGGGGGTGGTTGGGGGGAACTGAAGGGGACTAGGGGGGGGGGGGGCAGGGGGGGGTAGGAGGAAAAGGGGGGGGGACAGGGGGGGGGGGGTGTCTGGGCGCGGGCGAGAGGGGTGCAAAATCGTGTCGGCCGCGGATAGTCCTGTGAGTCGCGCGATAAAGAGCCCACAGGTGATGGACAACTTAGAGCCAGGAGCTTATTCTGAGTCCCTGTGGCACACACAGCTCTCGAAGGCGAGCGTGGTCATCTCGTCCTATACTGGATGCGCCACTATCCATCAGTGTGATTTAATATCTGAGGTGGACTGCGGATATACACTCGTTGGTTGCTTTGTTTTGAAATAGTGGAGTTTATTATTATATTTTTTTGTCTGAAGTTTTTGGCGTATCGGTGGACCTTGCTGGGATGTCCTGGTTCTATCTGTGCTGTGCGTCCTGAGCTGTGCGTGGGGCACTCCGAGGCGGCCTCCCGGCTCAAGTCCCCCGCGCTGCCCATCCAGTCCCGAGAGAGAAGCCGCTCCCCCTCCAAGGGCTTGTCAGGTGAGTGGCTTTGCAGTGTCCCGTAAAAAGCAGACAAGAACTGTTTTTGGAGGCTTGGTTCAACCGCGACAGAGCATTTTACGCACCCATTACGCACGGCTTGATGGTGACGTATAACGTGATTATTTTTCACTTATCGGCTGAGCGTGGCATCTCGTATCCTACTAAAAGTGCATTTTGTGTATGTATTTGTACTGTTTATTTGATAGACTAGCACACTATTGATCTCATATATAGTTCCAACCATAGTCCATAGACAGATAAAGTAACACATGTAGGTCAGATTCTACAAATACATACAAAACAGACATCACGAAACAATTTTAAAGAGTCTACAGATCACGTGACTGGTTTGTTTTTACTCATAGTTTGAGTTCTTCTCATGGATGTGCAGAGGGAATGCCTGCCCGGGAGATGTAATGGTGGCCCTCGCAGATAATAAACAACAAACTTTTTCAACTTAGATTTCAAATAAATAAATACTATCCTATATCATTGCAGGCGGACATTCAGTTTCCAATAGAGTAAAAAAAAAAAACACACACACAGTCCATTGGTTTTGCTTGGTTACGCACGTTATAGACACGTTCCCTATGTGTGTCCCCAGCCCCTACCTCTTGTAAACTGGCAGCAAACATGTGACTCATAACCGCACTGAACAGCGTTTGATTCATGTGTGAAAGTCCCCTGCGTTCAAAGCACTTGTGGTTTCTCTAAAAAGGGGTAATTAACTGCAGGACATAGCCCGCGTATTAGTAGTATACTCCACAACTATGCAATTTAGCGTTTGGAAAAATGTAATCAATCGGGCTTTTCCATTACCCCCATCAGCTACTTGGAGTCTTGGGCATGATTTATTTCGCTGGAGACCGAAGTGGCAAGAGCGCGCACGGATTTCTTGGCTCAGCTTCGCGCAGCGCAGTCACTTTAATGAAAGAATAATGTGAACCAGCTTGGTAGCAGTGAGCAGGGGTGAGCCGTCAACCCTCGTCAAGTTGGACAGGCCGCGGGTTGCAAGAGAGCTCAGTGTGTGTGTGTGTGTGTGTGTGTGTGTGAGTGAGACAGAGAGTGAGAGAGAGAGAGAGCGTGCATGTGTGACAGCCTTTGAAATAAGCACATAGAGCACATAGTTTACAAGCAGGAGAGCTATCACAACTAAAAATCACCCTGACACCCCTGCAATTTCACCCAGCATAGTCATAAAACAGCTATTTTCATCATATGCCACCTTTAATTTAAGACTTAACTGGGGAAAAAGTTGTTGATTTAGGCTGAAAAGTTCCTGCAGGCATACAGTTTGATGCCTAAGTGAAACTAAGTGGATTGATTAACCTGGCCCGAGTCAACATTGCATTTGCATAATACAAGAAAAGAAAAGAAGCAATTAATCATTTCAAACGAGGCAGCACATAGTCAGTGTTTCCCCTCTCGCTTTTTCTTTTTTACAATCCAGTTTAAAAAGCCTATAAACTATAGCTTAACCATCAGCATATGCATTGGAGGACCACCACTATAGACACAGGATACAAGGTTAAGCTTCAAAAGTCATAAGCTATCCAGGCACGGTCTATATCTTCCAGAGAAATGCCTGGCCAGAGAGCAACGGGAGATTTATACGGTGCAAGAATTTAAAGCAGAGACTTTATGGTTCCAATACTTCATCATTGTTGAAAACCTGTTATTTTGCGCTCTTTTTCCAACACAATACGGCCATTTTGAGACTCGAACAATGTCCCCTTTGTGCGTTTCCCAAATCATATCTGGCCAAATGAGAAAGTGCAAGCCCCATGTAATCACGGTATAATTGGCCTTCGCTTCTAATCAAGTCCCTGCGTCTCAAAACAGAGCAAAGATTAACTGTCATCCACTTTTTAACCTTGCGTATTGTCGAGTTTAATTATACGTGTGCGTTTTTTTTTCTTCTCCAGGATGCTCATTTGGAGGACGCTTCTATTCCCTGGAAGACACATGGCACCCGGATCTAGGCGAACCGTTCGGAGTCATGCACTGTGTCCAATGCAACTGTGACCCGGTAAGAATTTTTATTGTATATTTTATTTTGTACAGTGTTTTCCCACAAAATCAAGAAAGCGATTTTGAATTCATGTTTTTCTGTTTCCTTTCCGCAGCAGAAGAGTCGAAGAGGCAAAGTTTTCGGGAAAGTCAACTGCAAAAATATCAAACAGGACTGTCCCAATCCAGACTGCGATGACCCGGTTCTTTTGCCAGGCCATTGTTGTAAAACTTGCCTTAAAGGTAATGATTACTTGTTTTTTTTGGCCACACATTTAAAGCTGAGGTACCTAACTTTAAAGCAAAAGCTGGAACTTGTAATATATCAAAATAGTTTGGTTCTATCACTAGTTTTCACATGTTCTTAGCCTCAGTTTCATCTTAAGATCAGATTTTTTAGACAGAAAAGTGACAAAGAAGAGAACCATCCTCACTCAGCCAATCAGCTCTCAGCCATTCATTCATTCTCTAATCCCAAAGTGTCAAATTGTGACTCACAGGGGCCTGATGAGATGATGACAGAGTGTTTCATAGACTGATATATTTCTTCTTTCACAAGAGAGACAAAAACATCTACTATATATACCCAAAAGTCAGATATTAGAAATGGTGAAGATGGAGAGATGTTTTTCGAACGCAATCGCCAGTTAGACCCGCCCCCACAGCTTCCTGATTGGACGCGACAAATTCAAATCCTTGATAGCCAGCCGAGGCCTCTCACCATTGGTCGAACTGTTCTCCTCCATCCATGTTGCATCACAAGTTACAGAACGGATACAGAGGAGCACACAACACAAGATAAGAAATGTGAAAATTAAGTATAGCACAACTAGATCTATACTTTAAGAAAATAAAATGGAAATAAAATCTATAGCTTAATAGAGAAACAAACTATTTCAAAGTATACATATGGTAATACTTATACAAGAAGACTGTTTTAAGTACATTTATTGTAAAAAACTTGATATAGTTAGATAGGTAGATACTGTATATTAAAGGGACATATGGTTGTATACACAAATATATGTATTCTTTTCCAAATGAAACACAATTTAAACCGCAGACATCACCTTTAATTATTCTACCAGCCTGGGTATTTGCTCCTATATTAGGAATTAGCCACTCTTACTCACGGCTTAGATATATTTCAGCCCATTCCGTGTTTTTGTAGCTTGCATATGCCCTCCTCGGTGAATGGAAAGTGGATCGAAAGCATATGGTCAATGGGACAACAACCTCTGTGTGTTGCGGTCATGTCTTAAGGAAAGGCCTGTTTATTTAAGCCCGGGCTCTAAAATTGCAGCACACGACTATATGTTTGTTTAAATGCTGGAAAAAAAGCGGCATCTGCATGTGTATAATGTCATGTTGGTGCACCTGAGGATAGGCCCTGAAGCTAATTGGGGCTAAAGTGAGAAAGAAAGTACCCAGAAGCAGTGAGAGCAGAGGGGGCAGAGAGAGGTTAAGATTTACGACAGGCAGCGAATGGAGCGAGTCCGTCTGTGGCTTCGGGAGAGTGACTAATCCTTGCATTTAGACGCTCATAACTAAGTCGCTTTATTTGTATGTGTTTGGACAAGTGCGGCTACGAGAGGCCGAACAGCGCCGCGTTGTTAGGATCGCACGCTGATGTCACGCTCGATTATGAATGACAAGACCGGGCCATTTTTGTGCGTTTGGCGAGAGAGGGATTCAACGCATATTTTATAGCCACTTAGCATAATGTGTATTTCTACATCTTCGTTGTTACATTTTCTCACTTCGCAGCAAGATGGTCCTGTGTTTGATTCTACCTCCAGACAGAGCCTTACTGTGTGGAGTTTGCATGGTCTTCCTGTGTATGAGTAGGTTTCCTCCAGTTGCTCCGGTTTAACTAGTATGATAGGTATAATAAAGGGATGTTTGGAGTCGTTGTTGCGCAATAGTAGAAAAATATCATATTCAGCCAAAACAAAGTGAAATGGTTCTTCACAAAATGGTTTTTAACTACACTCATTTATTACAAAGGTCAAACTCACGAGAGATTGAGATTCAGATTATTTGCCGTTTGCAGTAAAACCACATTGGAATAGATGTGCAAAAGTCCCCAGTGTGCACCAGACAAGTACAAAAATGTTGGTTAATGGGATAATAACCCACTCTTGGCTCACAGCTTGTTAAATTCCCAGTTAATAGACCTCCAAAAATCTGAATATTTTGAAAATGGTCTTTAAGCCATAATCCTCAACATTATTACAAAAATATATTGGTTTCACTTTATACCATCAGCGTTTGATTCCAGTCTACTGTGGGCTTTCTTGAGCGATAACTTTGATTACTCTTCTCTCTGGCAACTGTTGCAAAAAACGTCAGGCTTACAAGAGAATATTCAACAATTTATTTCAGATAGGAGAGGAACGATGGAATGATTCATCAGCTTTCTCTACAACATGTTTTACCGACCATTTTTGGATATCTTTTATGCTCAAGGGTTTTTTTCCACCCCAAAGTAAACATGTTTGCTCCAATAGTTACCAAAGCTTTCAGTAAACAGGGAAAACTCGAAAAAATAGCATATTGTTAATAAATGTGAAACTACATGATATAGAGTACATGCTAAATGACATATTTCAAACTTTTCATGTAACAAAAGTTGAAGAAAAATGCTCGTCGGGATCAGAAGTGTAAAAAATTCTGGCTCTCAGATTTCCTCTCTCCTCATAAGCCAAGCATTTGTTTATTGTAACGTTGATGATTATGGCTAAAGTCCATTTTCATATTTCTTCTGACTCTTCTAATTTCCAGAAATCTTTTATTTGGGGTTTTTACAGCTGTGAGCAATTATCAACACTAAAACAAAACCAGTCTCGACATATCTCACTTTGTCTGTAATGAGGCATATATTAGTTTTACATTTACAGGTGCATGGATTTTGAAATGTTATTCTAATTTTCCCGGTTTCTCCTGTACTGTAGGCAAACTGCATTGAAAAAGGGGGTTGAATACTATTGCATACCATTTTTTAAAGGTTTTGTATTCAGAAATGTATTTTCCTTTTACTTTACAATTGTCTTTCACATAATATCTTTATGTTGACAAAATGTGAAAAATGCATGTACAGTAGGGAAAAACCGTATTTAGTCAGTCACCAATTGTGCAAGTTCTCCCACTTAAAAATGTGACGGAGGCCTGTAATTTTCACTATGAGAGAGAGAATGAGAACAACAAAATATGGTGGAAAATAAGTATTTGCTCAATAACAAAAGTTGATCTCAGTACTTTACACAGACCCTCTATTATACCTCTATTTGATTTTATTCACAAAGTCGTTCTCCGTGCTAAAGTAAGGGCTTGTTTGGTCACTTTGGACTCATATGTGCTCCAGACTTTGCAAAAACGTAGCATCATGTGTTTAGAAATGTTCTAGCTTGACAGTTCAGCCAGAGACTTGGAAGTCCTCACAGCTTTCCATATTCATAATCCCAGGGTTTTGGAACTCTGGGACAGAAGGGCCGCTCCACTGCTTTAGCGATTAAATTCAGACCTAAATATTATATCTTTTTTAAACGCTCCCTGCAGTGTTGCAAGAAGGTTAAACCCAGGGATAACATTAGCAACGGCTTCAACTGACTGCTACACTGTAAAAAATTATATTGGATTGAATAGAGTGGTTTCTGAATGTCTTAAAACAAGATTTCCCAATGGGACAAAGCCATTTAGTGTTATTTCAAGGACTGTTGCTTTATTTTCTCATTCCAAGGGAGACATTTCTTGTATCTTTTTAAAACAAGATCATTTTTGCTTGTCCCATTGGCAAATCTTGTTGTAAGCCAGTCAAAAATTGCTCAAATGTACATACTTTAAACCGAATTCGAGACTTTTTTGACTAATTTTTCATCACTTTTTGCTGTGTTTTCTTCCTGTGTATGTGCATTCTGACATATTCTGTATCTGTACATCATTTTTTCCAGTCGTTCACGGCAAGAAACACACAGACTCCGTGCTGGATACGTTCGAGTATTTCCACGAAAAGGGCAAGGACAAAGACGACGACCTGCACAAATCCTACAACGATAGATCCTACCTCAGCTCGGAGGACGTGGGCCCAGGAGAGAGCCGCACCGGTGAGTAAAACAAAGTGCATTTCACATTCACAAATCACACGCACTCTCTTAATCCCTACGTCTCCCTTGTGCCGTTCACTCTTCCAGATTTTGTGGCTCTGTTGACGGGAATAAAAGACTCATGGTTGCCGAGCTCCAGCGGCGTGGCCCGGGCTCGCTTCACTCTGACCAGGAACAGTTTGGCTTTCTCCGTCACATACCAAAGGTGCACGCTAGTCCTATAAGCGTCTGTGTTTTTATGTTGTTTGGCCTCCCAACCCCCGTTCTGCTAATCTGCCATGTTATAGCTACTGGGAAACTTGTTTTTAAGGGAAAGTGGTTCAGGAAAACACTGAAAACCATATTGTTTTTGTCTTTTAAAGGGCAAACTGTGTGGAATTTTATATCTATCTATTTTTCTATCTATCCGTCTGTCGGTCTGTCTGTCCATTCAACTATCCAATAGGTGTATATTTGTCTGTCTGTCTGTCTGTCTTTCTGTCTGTCTGGTACTGCGTCTTTAGACCATGATCCTGTAAGTGAGGATTGCAATTTGGCCATGACAACTGTTGCTAAGGAGGTTTTGCTGGCTCTTGGATAAAAAAAAGTAGTCCCTTTGAAGTGTCTTGCTTATGGACACAGCAACAGATTTCCAATTTGTAGCTGCCAGTCATCCCAATCTCTTTGTACACACATGAGGCCCTTCTATAAAAAAAAGTATTTCTCTAAAAAAGTGATCCAGAGACAGTATTCATGTTTTCCTTCTGGAAAAACCTTGGGTGGGAGATCCATCACTTACTTTTACTTTGCTTTTAGTCATTGTAAAACTATTGTCTGTGAGGGATCTATATGAAACTGACCTAGAACTTGGCCTTGGCTTGTCTAAATTGACAAATTCAACAGACTCCAAACAATTACCGTTGCCTTTTGAAGTCGTTTTTATGTCTATTCCACCATATAAAGTCATAGCAAAAGCCTTCAACAAATTTACCTCTCAATAATCACTCACAAATATCTCTCTGTGTCTTGTTTTTAGAATGGGTCGTCCGTCCAAAATAGTCTTCCTCGGTGCGGACGGTCCTGCCTTCGAATACAAAGTCCCAAAGGGAAATTCAGACATGGTAAGAACTCAACTAGGAAATAATTCTTCCACTTGCTCAGTGTTTGTCCAAGCAAAGTGTGCACATGACTAAGCCACACTGCTTTGACTTTTCTTCCCATAATTCACCTTGTAATAATAAACACTGGCCTCGACTCGATCGCTAAAACGCAAAACAGAGTGACACATTCGAGCCACATGAAACAATTTTTACCACGATGTAAACATTTTCAAAGACTTGGGCCCAGCATTTTTAGTCACTTTAAACCAATTCATATCTTGGTTTTACAGAGGTACACGTGCATACACCCCTCGCCAACATAAACACATCGTCCTATTCCCTAAAAAGGATGGAGAGGGAGAGAAGAAGAAGCCCACACTGCAAAAAGGGATGAAAAATAAGTCAAAAATGGCTCGGATTTGGCAAAGTGTTTCTTAATTTAAGCACATTTTGACTCCCTTAAAACTAGATTTGTCAATGGGACAAAGCAAAATGATCTTGTTTAGAAATATACAAGAAATGTCTTACTTGGAATGAGAAAATAAAGCAGCAGTTCTTGAAATAAGTCTAAATGGCTAGATGTCAGACAACTTGTTTTACTTATATAATCACACACTCATTAATAACCATTCCTGCTATAACCACAGCATCTTTTACCTACTCATACCCTCCTCCCTTTCTCAGCTTTGGATCACACACTAGCACAAACACACACAAACACACACACACACACACACAAATACTTACCCTACCCTAACTTTCCCTTCGTTAATAATTGTATTGTAATCAAAACTTTATTCTCTCTGTTTTTTGTATTCTGTGTTTTATCCTGTATGCTTGTCCCTTTATGAATGTGAATAAAAAGAAAATATATACATACAGTAAAAAGGCAAAATGGCTTTGTCCCATCGGCAAATCTTGTTTTAAGACAGTCAGTGTACTCAAATTAAGATAAAAACCACTCGATCAATCAGTTATTACCTCATATTTTATCATTCTTTTGCAGTGTGCAGAAATTCAGCTCTCAGAAATTGCACTATTGTTATGTTTAGATTCTGTAAATGTCAAGCAGTAGAGGACCGGAGAAAACGGCTCAAATATGGAAGAGAAGATGGATAAGGAAGGCAGCCAAAAACCAAAAAGATTTCAGGATTTTTCACATGTTACCTCATCGTTGGGACCCAAAGTATCTCTAATTAAAACGGAGATTACCTCTGAACCTTGAGTTATGATGTCTCGGCACGCAGCCACCATTCTTTCCTCGGCTCTCATGCTTCGATATGACATAAAAGGCCTATTGTATTATGCATTTAGCTGATGGCTATACATTTACATACGTTTTTCTTTTTTTCTCTTCAGGTCTGCGGAGTGTGGAAGAACCTCGCTAAGCCCCTGCTCCGACAGCTGCAGTCCGAACAAATGCGGATCACCATGACCACGGCCAGCACCAGACGCGACGAAGTGGAGGGAAAGATTATCAAACACAGAGCACTGTTCGCTGGTAAATCTGAAACGAGACACTGTTGCCCCCCATCCCCGACCAACGCGATGTGGCTTGTGCTTTTTGTCACCGTTCTGAAAGCTCTGCCAGAAGTGTGACATAATGTAGATGTAGCTGGATTTGTGTTGAGTATGTGGTGTTTCGAGCAACTTTTGCGGATGTAAAAATGCAAAGGACATAAACTCGACATTGACACAGCCATCTCTAAGGCAGGCTTTCCCATAATATGTACCAACGCAATATTTAAATCTACATAGAGTATTCGTTTTTATTTTTAGCAGAAAACTGTATTGTAAAAACCCTAACACCAGTCAATACATAGCTAAATAGATAGATACTGTAAATAGATTAATTAATATAGATGAATAAGTCTTAGCCAAATACATTGTTAAAACACGTCGTCAATATCATGTAGTGAAATGAATTAAGTTTATTTTGGTCACTTGCACAAATATACTGTACATTATTTCAGAACGGCAGAAAGACCGCTGAAGCGAATGCCTTTATACTAGTATCAATAGTATAAGCGAAAATATAAACATTAGGATAAAAAGGACAAGACACCAAAGTTCTGCCTGTAACTGTTAGATTTAAGCAGTTGGTAGCTTTACAATAATACAATCAGTGTTCATGACAAAAAGGATCTCACAAGTCGGCTTCAATGTGGCAGAGTGGTTGGTTCTCTCCCTAATTATCAAGAAGATTCTGGGTTCGAATCCTGGTTGGAACAGGGCCTATCTGAGTGGAGGTGGTTTGCATGTAGTCCACGTGTCTGTGTAAGTTTACTTGGGGTGCTCTGGTTTCTCCTACCACAAAAAACTAGTCCAATAGATTAGTTTAGCTCTGGTGTCCCTGACCAAGCCGAGCATCACCAACTCGAGGTGGGTCCCGGGCGTGAGTGCATAGATAGGATACTGTACATTATGGGGACTTTAAAACATACGTCACCCTTAACCACACATACTGTATCTTATCTTTCGTATCACATATTTAAGAAAGGACATAGGCACTCACCCAGAACAGAATATTTCCCACACTTCTGACACTCTAAATATGTGCAGAAATCCAGTAAGCTTTTCTGTCTATTGCCACACACTTTTACCCTTTAATGTTCACTCCTTGAAGAAAGCAATGTAAATCTTTCTTTTTTTAACTTTGGGATGATCACTAATTACAAAATCATAAATTCATCTGCTGTTTTTAACCTCTTGTTTTTTATTAAAAGGCCTTTACCAAATGGTCAATATGCAGTTTGATGGTAAAAGTGCCTAAAACCAAGCGATAGAGATGCAAAAATGAGGTAGATTTCAGTTCCAAGTGATACACAAAAATGGTTGAGAAAACTATTAAAGGGTTAAACTTATTGAAAATCAGTCAGAATAAACTTTCATAAGAATAATTGAATCATTTCCAGGGTCATTCCTAAAACGCTTCTCATGCAACGATCATGTACTTTTTCTTCCTCAGAAACTTTTAGCACTATTCTAACGTCAGAAGAAGAAAACTCGGGAATGGGAGGCATCGCTATGTTGACTCTCAGTGACACCGAGAACAACCTGCACTTCATTCTCATCCTGCAGGGCCTCATCAAGCACGACGGGAAGGGTAACGTCACATTGCTGATCAATAAACGATTTGATTAAAGACAACGCAGTGGTTTTGATCAGTTTTCCCTTTTCTCAGAGCCGCTGGTGGTGCCCATCAAAGTACAGATGGTTTATCGTCAACACGTATTGAGGGAGATCCGCGCCAACGTCACTTCACATGTAAGTATAAGATTCTCAAAAGTACCTATTTGAAAATGTAAACATGCTCAGTTACTAGGATTGACCACAGAAACTAGGACCGCACGAACTAAGGAAAAGCATCTACTCACTGTGAACCAAAACGACTCCATCAACAACTTGTAAGAGTGAGGAAAATACTAACTGGACTCAGATGCCACTTAGATGCCACTTTGATATAAAAAATACCTTTCTTTAATTATATACCAATAATATGGGCAATCAGCGATTTTATCCAGACCAGTGGGGGCGGGTCCCGGCTCAAAAGTGGCCAAAATGACGTGCGCTGACATGCTTGCAATACCACCCCGGGCCGATGGGGGTGGACCCAGAATAAGAATTAGCCAATGCTAACATATAGCATCTGCTTGCCTCTCGAAAACGTCTTTACAGGATGGTCCAAAAGTCGGCTCTTGGCCCAAAGCTTTGTTCCACATGTGTGTCAATGTTGAGGGGGGTGAATTTTTTTGGACCAGTCTAATTTACTCGCTGTGAATTTTTGAAGTCACTCGTTTAAATGAATGGAGCTCGTGCCGGCTGACGCATGTGCAGATGCATTTTTTCACATTTTCCAGCCCCCACGGCCATTTTGAATCACTCCATGAGAGCCCAATTTTTGGCCCATTAGTTAGAACGGCAGAGATAGGCGTGACTATGTCCGTTAATATATACAGTCTATGATCCAGACGCATTTTTTAAATATTGTGGGAAAACGTCCCTAAACCCTAAAAGTAGTCAAGTTATCATGTGTTTTCAAATAGTAATGGAATTGATCACATGTCTATAGTCTCTAAAAATGAATAAATAATATTTTGGAGCGGACCAATAAAAATAAACCAATTGGATGCGTTCATCCCCAACGAACCAATGGGATGCGTTTACCCTCTTCAACCTCTTCCTGTTTCTCGCTAGTGAGCGCACTGGCGTTATCGGATTTTTTTAAACCTAAAAGGGCTGAACAGAAAATGCCAATTTCACGTTTGCCACCCACTCTCCCTGTTGTGACAAAGAAAAGAAAATGCTGGATGGACAGCTAAGCTAACAAAATCGCTTACTGCCCCTTTTAGCACAGGCTGTTTCTAGACCAGTAGGAATTTTAGATTTTAGATTTTTTTTCTCCAGAATCTACATCTCTTCATAGAACTAACTCCAACAATCCCACATCCAAACAAACACATGTTTTAGAAAGTGAAATAATATCTGCAGGAGAAGATATAGGTGAAACGATTACCAAGGCTATCACACTACCCTATCCCCACGCTACCACCAGGGGGAGCAGTAGAATTTGTTTTTGTTTCACAAATTTGAAAATTACTGGCTGCAACCACTGCCGTCAGCACTAGATCATATACGGAATCGGGACGGAAGCAGGAGTAAATATAACAAACTACTTATTCATGCCTAAACTTAACCAGCCATTCCCATAAAATAACCCAACCCAGCCTTAACCCTAACCTTAACCATCTTACTCAGACGCCTAAAACGCAACCAGTCACCACTTAAGGACTTTTTAGTCTAAAACTAATTCGGTTTCGTCCCGATTCCGTAAATGATCTAGTGCCGACCCAACCACTGCCACCTGATTGCAAATTCAGCTGGCTTATACACAGGTGCGCCTTTTAGTGCAGAAAGTAGCGTGCATGCTTGGAGTTTCCATGACGACGGAGCATGCACAGTGGTATTAGTGGCGTCGCTGACATACGACAGGGCAACACTCTCTGCCTCATGGTGAAGGATGTGGTTTGTTCGCCACTTCCTCAGACCACTGTGATCACTGCTACTACCCAGAGACATGCACGGGCAGATGGGATACACGGAGGAAGCGTCTGGGGGGAGAGGGAGGGCCCAGCGCACTGACACAAACACACACACACACACACACAAACGCACGCACACTCCACACATGTCAGTGGTTAGCGGTCTGCGGCGGAGATGGATGCATAGAGGAACCTTGATGAAAGAGTATAGCCTGGATTTGATCAGGCTAAAATCTTCTATTCTCTTTTCGGGCCTTAAAACAAAGTGACTGTCCGTGAAATAAAACGCTGTTACACAAATTACACTCGCACCAAAACCGCAAAGTCATTTAAAAAGTCAAAAAAACTCACAAAAAAACTCAACACGGTGGGAAAATCTCAACAATCCGTCAAATCATTTCTCCATGTAAATATTACGTCCATCAATTTCCCTTGAAAATAATTCCTTTTTATGGCCACTCTCTTTTTCCAGTTGTGTTTTGGCTTCTTGCTGCTAGCTCCAGATTTATGATGCATGTATATTTATATTGAACCATGGCCCCGAGGTCATAAAAGTAACATTTCTTCAGCACGCCCGTACATCTGCCGTATTAATCCAACATTTTTCAACTTCTCATATGATTCTCTTTGCATTCTTGCTGTAACCTGTCTGCTTGAAATTACCCTCGAAACGCAATATGCTACGCGTTAGCGAAATGCAAGCCATATTTGTTGGCGTTTTTTGCATGTGTGACCAAAAAACTCTGCTTTTGTCATCAATGATTGCGGTCATTGGATGTTTGGTTTCTCCGGCACCGTGCGACAAGACTAAATATTTTGAGTATCGTGTTTGCGTTTTTTACTTAAAGCTGAGGTACTTAACTTTCACACCGCAAAATATCAACAAGTCTAACTAGTTCCTTGTTCTCAAAACAGTTTTCACATGTTTTCTGGCCTCTGTCATTTTAGATCAGGGTTAGGGTTAGAAATCAGAGGATCAGCCTATCAGCTTTCAGCCTAAAAAGTCAAATAGGGACTCCGTGGGCTGTTATTACACGTATGTAAAAAAATAAATAAAAACAATCTAATAAGACAGCGTTACAGTATGTTGTGGGCTGCACTAGAGATTTTGTTTATATATATAATTTAAATAAATACTAGCTGTAACCACTGATTGTGAAGAAAGTAATTTCACATGAGAAAATGTATTTAAGAGCAATACTTTAGTTGTAAAAAGCAGAAAACGGCTCTGAGTGTGATGTCAAATTACAACAATGTTTTTTGCCTGAAGTTCCTTGTATCAGCGAGGATGGATCTTATAAATCCAAATCCAATCCAAAGTCAAATCCAATCCAGGTCTGTTTTTGAAAAGGGAAAAATTTCTAAAAGCTCAAAGCTAGATTTTTCACAGTCTATCACCTTTACATCTTTTTAATAACAGTTTCAATGTGTTTCCAGGATCCAGATTTTGCAGAGGTGCTTACAGACCTGAACAGCAGAGAGCTCTTTTGGCTGTCAAGGGGTCAACTCGCCATCGCCGTGACGACCGAGGGCCACGATCCCAAACTGGTGTCCGGCTTCATCACCGGACGAAAATCATGCGACAGTAAGAAGTTACATTAACACATAAACAATAATAAGAAAGTACTGTATACAAGCAAGCACAAAATCTCTGACTTTAGCATGATAAAGAAGTAAGTAGAGTAGAGTAAGTAAGAGAAGGAAGCAGCAAGTCTATAATTTTCAACTTAATCATAATGAAGAAGCAAGAAATAAGTATAAAATAATAAACAATTTACCACGATTTTTATAGATTAGTTTGTTATTATGTCTTTTGTACATTAAAGGTGCAGTAAGCGATTTTGTTAGCTTAGCCGTAGCACCAACTCAAACCACTCCCCCCTCCCCTCACCTCTCCACCAAACCAAACATCCAGCATTTTCTTTTCTTTGTCACAACAGGGGGAGTGGGTGGCAAACATGAAATTGGGTTTTTCTGTTCAGCCCTTTTAGGTTTTAGAAAATCAGATAATTCAGGTGCACGCACTCGCAAGAAACAGGAAGAGGGTGAAGGGGGTAAACGCATCCCATTGGTTCGTTTGGGATGTACGAATATTTTAAATTATTTTTTGGAGACTATAGGCATCTGGTCAATTCCATTACTATTACTTGACTACTTTTAGGGTTTAGAGACATTTTCCCAGAATCAATGACTGCATCTTTAAGTAAGTAGTTACATAACAAAGGATGATTGCTCACCCATCATCTGTACAAAGGTGAGCAGTAATCCCTGTACGACTGAGAGCTTACACAAACTAAGTAGTTCCAAAGTTTTTTTTTTACGTTAGCAAGTTTCTCCTCTGCCTGTCCTCTATTCTTTCAGCTCTTATAGCTGGGGTAAAATCATGGCTATTGGCCTCGTGTTTGTGTGTGTGTGTGTGTGTGCGCATAAGATAAGATTGCTTTGCTTTATTTATCTCACAGAGGAGAAATTTACATGTCACATTTAGCATGGATAGAGACACTCAGATTGTGCAAAGGGAGGAAATGTGCAAACATGTAACATGCAGGATATATGTACAATAAAGTGACAATAATTATGTACAACAAAAGTGACAAGTGTCAATTGGAAACAGTGTCAATAGTAGTGCAGGTTTTCACACAGTGATCATTTAAAGTGACTTATTGTACAGTCTGACAGCGGTGGGGATAAAGGCCCTGCGGTAGCGCTCCTTCCTACACTGAGGGTGTCTCAGTCTTCCACTGAAGGAGCTCCTCAGCTCCTCTACAGTCCTGTGCAGTGGGTGGGAGGTGTTGTTCATGATGGAGGTGGCTTTGGCTAGCACCCTCCTGTCCCTCACCTCCTCCACAGAGTCCAGGGAGCAGCCCAGAGTGGAGCATGCATGTATTTTTTGCGTGTACGTGTGAGAGACGCAGAGAAAGAACGTGGAATGTCGTGGATGACCCGGGCTTCTAAAAATGCACACATGTTTTCTGTCTTTTGCGCGGGACAAAGGTCTGGAACAATGTCTTGCTATTCCAGGAGAGACATTTATCCAATCACCAGCCCACAATCCCCTGGGTGTCCGCTGGTCTTTGCTCTCTCCGTGTTTCTTTCTCCTTATCTTGCATATTGAGTTGGCATGTGTTTTTCACCCCGCACGCCCATCTCTTGATCTCCAGCTTCTTGCATCAGGCTCAACTGCACGACCAAATTGTAGATTTGTTTTTACTTATTGCCATAAAATCAGCCACAATATTGCATGTAATTGGTTGGACTGTAGTTTTTGAATCCAATGATGCAAACAAAATCCAGTCACAACCGCAAAAATGTATTTTTTTGGCGTTTATGACCCCAAAAACAAAGCAATAGGCTGGCAGCAAAACAGTCTAGCCTCTTGATCAATGTTGAAGTTTTTTTTGCAAGATATTTCATAGACAATTAGACATTATAGGTTGTCTGTATATACTGTATTTCTACACTGCTTTAGCCGTGTCCCGCATTCTCAGTTTAAAACTATTGAATGTATTGCAATTACATAGAATTTTATGGGACAAAAGCAGAATGCAGAGGGTTTGATTATTATTGTTTAATATGTCTTTTTCCATATCGTAGCTGAGTAACTGAACTAGAATGTATGAATCTATTTCTTGATAAATTAAAGCTGGGGAACGTAACTTTTTCATAAATAATACATGTGGCTTGTCATGACAGAAATAGTCTTTTAAAGGTAAAAAGTATGCTCAGAATACATGTTATCTTTTGCCTACTAGTAAGAAAGAGCCCTGTGAGTCACTATTGGACTATTTTTTGGGCTGAAAGCTGATTGGCTGAGTGAGAGTGGTCTTTTCTTGTTCACTTTTCTGTCTGAAAAAGCATGACAGAGCTAAAAATAATACGTTTCATTGATAGAACCGAACTGTTTTAGAGTTTTATAGGGACTAGTCACATGGATTTCAATATATAGTTTAATTTAACATGATTTGAAAGTTACGTACCACAGCTTTAAGCACTTTCATTTTTTGTCTCAAAATTCCTCATGGAACGAATTATATCGGAAAAGGTAAATGGCCTCAATAACTGCAGCAAGAGGAAAAATATATATGTATTTTTAGTCAAATTTTATTTTTAACACATTTAGATAGAGAAGCATACGACAATTCCTCATAGCGTGCCTTTTCGTCGAGATTTTTTTGTCTTAAAAATACACAGGCTTTAAGTAAATGAACCTTATCTGCACATGACCATCTATTATTCTCCACTGTCTGTAGTCACGTCTCTCTTACTCACGCTCAGTCTCCGTGATCCCAGCCACATTCAGGACAGATGACCTCATCCCGGTTTTAAGCCTAACCTTGGGCTTTTTTCTGACCACTCCAGACACTGAAACAACATGTATGTTTTGGTCAAGGGCGCACACGCAATTTCACCCGTGGACCCTCCCCCTCATTAGTGACTCCATTGAATCTGCCCTTCCAGTGACTGCTGCGTGACATAGCAAGTGTGTATGTGCGTGTGTGTGTGTGTGTGTGTGTGTGTGTGTGTGTGTGTGTGTGTGTGTGCAGCTTCCTTTTAAGACCTCAGGGAGCAAAAACATGCCCCCTTTTCACTCAAGAAACAAGGGTTATTTTAAAGTGACAGCTCTGATTGCATCATCTCGCCGGCTGTCAAAATCCGCTATGGTTCTGAGAGAGAGATGGGGAGAGATGGGGTTGATAAGTATAAGCACTGTTTTGTATTATAGAAGAAATATGTCTTGTTATTTTTGGCCGTTCGAGATTCCAATGAGACTATTTACTATTTAATTTCTTGTTTTAGAATGTGAGAAAAGTGGAAACTATGGGGTGAAACTCTTATCAAGGGTAAATGCTATACTATGCTGCTATGCACTATCCTTTCTGACTGGAGTTTGCATGTTCTCCCCGTGTCCGCGGAGGTTTCCTCACGGTACTCCGGTTTCCCCTACCACTAAAAACATGTCCAATAGGTCTGGCATGCACCTCCTGTACTGGCGACCCCACTCCCATCTCTGTGTGGAGTGAGAGACAAATGCCCAAAAAATAACAATTGTAAACCGCTTTGAGACTCTGGTCTGTGAAAGTAATTTTACCCCAAGAGACAATCCCAAAACTAGATCATGGACAACTTCCCACTTGGAAATATGGAAATGAACGCTGCACAATTCGGAAATTCAACTGGGAAACTCAGGCTGGGTTTATAGGTCGAAGAGTTCCAGAGTTTCCGTCACTGTGACACTTTGTAGTGGGATGAAAGAAGAGAAACAAACTGAGAGGGTTTAAGATCCATTTATAATTATAATTTACGTGTCACCATTTTTGGGAAGTCGGAAGGTTTGGTAGATATCTCATAGCTCCCAAGAAACGCATGAAAGCCAGAGACAGAAAGGGGCGGGGTTACATATTTGTCCCAGAATTTCCTTATAGTAGCGTAAATGAGATGTAAAATGTGGTTAAAACCTCCAAATAGTACATTTTGCATATTATGTCTTGTGATTTGACATTGTGATTTGCTGTAGCCCTTCAGAGCGTGATGTCCAGCGGCGACGCCCTCATGCCCGTCAAAACCGGAGGAGTCGGTTCTGCCATCTTCAATCTCCACGACAACGGGACGCTGGATTATCAGGTATAGCTTGAGTTTGTCCGTCTCTGCTGTCCCTCAAAGAGTAAAAATCCTTTCATAGCGCATATTTTGGAAGTGAGAAAAGTGACCGTTGCCTGCCAATGTTTGGGAAAAGTTACCATGGTAGACTGTGAAATCTGGGGGAAAAACAGAAACCAGATTAGCAGCCTGTTAACTGCGAGGAGAGAGGGTAATGTCATTGATCCGCTGAGGAAATTGCCTGGTCATAGTAGCTTAGTTGCAGCCCAAACACTTGAAACAACAAATGCAACAATAGACAGTATAGATACGGGACAAATGCATAGATAATTTGCACAAAACAGATACATGAACATTCAGGAAGGCGTAAGGACAGTGGTGATGATCCAGGACACTCGATATTCAACTATATGTATGGACATTTATCAATATTTATGGACATTTATCAATATTTATGGACATTTATCAATATTTATGGACATTTATCAATATTTATGGACATTGGTCATCTTCCCCTTGTGGGCCAATAGCTCTATGTGTTGTCTCGCGTTTGATTCTCTGATCTGTGTTGCCGAATTTAACAGTTTTGTGAAGTCCTCTGAAAATAACTACTGTTGTGATTTAGGGCTATACAAGAATAGATTGAAATTAATTGAAAACAAATAGGAAAGGTTTGAATTTTCCTCTTTTCCTACAAATTACATGCAGGGAAATGATAATTGACCAGAGTTTACGGACGGCTTGGGCCAGGCTAGTAGTTTGTGAAAAACTAGAGATGTTTTAGTGCCATACAGTTATTATTTCTCCCATTTTTGAGCAAATCCTTTCAAATGTCTCGCCAATAACAAAACATATGTTGGAGGTTGTAGCTTGAGGAATAAGATTTTTGGCAAATTATCAAAACGGAGATCTGATATATAATTTAATGTATTTCTACTTCTACAACTTTATGCATTTCAATCCAATGTATGTGTTTCTACATGCGTGGTATGAATGCCTCGATATTGTCACTGGTTCAGGAAAAGAAAAAGAAAAACTAGATCTGGTCCTGGTTGGCTTCCTTAATTTGAAGCTGTAAAGTCTATTTACTGGCTGTTGTTGGCCCAGATCTCACTATGTCATCATGTTTGGACCACAATGCTCTTCAGAAGTTACTAAAAAGCAGTTGCATCACATAATTGGACCCATTTGTAATAAGTGTGATGTGATTTAATTTGTAAAAGGATTATTATTGGTGTTGGACGTGAAAAGGACAGACTGGCACTTTCCTCATTGTTAGAAAATGTTGTTATTTCACAATATTTACGTGGTTTTGTTTGATGGTTCATGGAAGAAAATGGACGGAAAGGCACCATTGGATTAAATACTCTCCTCCAGAAAATAATACTGGTTTAATAGATCCTTTATTTGTGGTTAAATTTCACTGTTGCATCACAAGTTACAGACCAGTTGAAATGAGGAGCAAACAACACAAGATACACTTTTTAATGTGTCATCTGTAAATAGTAAACATAGTGCAATCATGTGCAATACTGCGATTTCACTTCATCAACGTTATTTATTCTGCTATGTATTTTTATACACTACCGTCCAAAAGTTTGGGGTCGCATTGAAATGTCCTTATTTTTGAAGGAAAAGCACTGTAGATAACTTTAAACTAGTCTTAACTGTAAAGAAATACACTCTATACATTGCTTATGTGGTAAATGACTATTCTAGCTGCAAATGTCTGGATTTTGGTGCAATGTTGTAATTGCTGCAAATGGAGGATTCTTTGACGAAAGCAAAGTTGGATGTAAAAAAAATCTTATTTCAAATACAAATGATTATTTCTAACCTTGTCAATGTCTTGACTCTATTTTCTATTCATTTCACAACGTATGGTGGTGAATAAGTGTGACTTTTCATGGAAAACACTTGGGTGACCCCAGACTTTTGAACGGTAGTATTTCACATTATATACAGTACATAGACATATATGTATAACTGTATATATATGTTGTTATTTGAATTTTGCTCTTAACCTTTAAGTCAGACCAAGGCCAAAGAGTTGAGTTTGACCAATAGATTCAAATAGATAGAACAAGAAGTAAAGTAAAAAGTAATGTTTTAAATCTATATTGATATCCTGCTCTTATGCATCATTTACAGCTAGTTAAAGGTATATAGGAGGATTTTCTACTTCCGGGTGGATCATCAAGACTATTGGTCCTTTTAATTGTCAATCATTCTGGTGATTCTAATCAAACAAGACAAGACATCAAAAAGTGGAGAGGGTGGTTCTTTCCTAAAATTTGGGAACATCCTCCTGTATACCTTTAAGAAGCATGCTCCTGCTAATGTCTTGTACACCCAAATTTCCCCACTGTGGGACAAATTAAGGTTCTCTTATCTCATTTATTCATAATTGTCCGTAATTTGTCATTTTCTCAAAGTTAATGCATCATCTGATTTCACAAAGGACTTCTCTACACAGGTTAGTTTGAGCGCCTCATCACTCATGGTGCATAAACACATCCATCTCCTGTGTTCAGGTGCAGGTGGCCGGTCTCACCAGCACCGTCTTGGGCCTGACCATCGAGCAGAAGCCTCGACGCCGGAACAAGCGGTCGGTGCTGTACGATCTGACCCCAGAGTACAGCGTGGCGAGCGGGCAGGCGGTGGGCAGCTGGAGCCGGCTGGAGGCCCGCCACATCCACATGCTGCTGCAGAACGAGCTCTTCATCAACGTGGCCACGGCGCACAACCAGGACGGCGAGCTCAGGGGGCAGATCAAGGCTTTGTTCTACAGCGGACTGGACGCCCCGAGACATGGTGCAGAAATACACGACAAAGACAATGCATATTTTCAATTCAATTTATTTTTGTATAGCCCTAAATCACAACAGTAGTTATCTCAGAGGACTTTACAAAACCTTTGAATTCGCCCACACAGATCAGAGAATTCAACAGTTAAAACACAAGAAATGCAATGATAGAAAACAGATTGAGCTATTGGTCCATTAGGGGCAGATGACCACTGTCCTTAGTCCTGCATCGGCGAGGAAAACATCTAATAAAAAACCCAGTGTGTTCGAATAGTTCTAAATTTGCGCAATTTAGTAAAGTTGAGTTTCCAGGGCACTTAAGTTATACCTCACTTTCAAACCCCCAAATATGGCAGATGTAATAAAATATTTGCATGTCTTTTCGGCGCCACATTTTTAGATCAGCTTTATCAAAGAGTGACAAAGAGAGGACCACCCTCACAGCCCAAACTGTCAAAAAGTGACTCACAGGGCTTTTTCTTACAAGTATGCAAATTATGTTTTTTTTGTTGGGATAAACAACATATGTTATTTATGAAATTTAGGAATCCCAGTTTTAGGCAAGAATAGAAACGTACAACATGTGCATAAATGATGACCACTTTTTTATTCTTTAATGTTTTTACAAGCTTTCTTCATGAGGTTTTCCTTTTAGTAGAAGTGGTAAGGATTTAAAGTTCGTAATATACCAGTCATAAATATTACCAGTCTTGGCTTAGTGAATCAAAAGACACTGGATTTAAAAACGCTTTCCTCCTTATGATGAATGGCTCACAACTTTGCTTAAACTCGTATTGCATGAGGACGTAGCCTTGAATAAACTCATCGTTACACCGAAGAAAAATGCAGTAATAGTTTGAACAAAGAAAATGAATGGCGAAGTTAGAGCATGTTTCATGAACTGACAGCTCATAAAACCATTGTGTGCAAAGGTGGCTATTATGCTACTTGTGGTGTTTTGAATCATTTATCAAATCAGTTGTAATAGAAATAATTCTTGATTTTTACCATAAACTGTATATAGATGGACTTTTCTAACCATAGTACGTTAGTTACTCAATGAAGCCCAATAGGAAAGTGTTTTGTTCCCACTCGCTCTGGCTACAATTCAGATTCAGATTCATTGAATTTGCCATTTGCAGTAAAACCTCATTGGAGTACATGTGCAAAAGTCCCCAATGAGCACCCGACAAGTACAAATATAAAACAAAGTTAAAAGTACAGAGATAAAACAAACTAAGAAAAAATTGTGCAGGAAAAAATAGAGACTGTGAAATCGATCAACTAAAACAGTTTGATTGACTTTATATATTATTACTATTTGGATATATTGAGGCGACAGTAGCTCAGTTGGTAGAGCATTGGCCTTAAGGCCAGAAGGTTGTGGGTTCAATTCCCACCTCTGCACCTTCTCCACCGACTCCCACTGATGACTGCTGTCGTTGTGTCCTTGGGCAAGACACTTAACCCCACTTTGCCCAAAGCCCCCACTGAAAGATCAAGGCTATGCTCACACTCAGTGAGCAGCCGTCCTCCTGTGGACTCACCACCTGCAGAGGGTCAGTGAGGGGCTGGTGCTATGAGACTTGGGTGGCATCTCTGACTGCCACCCCCCTGACCCAGAAATGGATTAAAGGGTAGAAAATGGATGGATGGATGGATATATTGATAGATCATAGATTTTAGATGGATATATACAGACTCTCAAAGACACAGAACCTTAACAAAAGTACTATATATAATAACAATCCTCTCCTCTTTCCTCCTCCAGAGCTGCCGACTCCCCTGGCCGGGTTCTTCGTGTCTCCGCCCGTCAGGACCGGGGCCTCGGGACACGCCTGGGTGTCTGTGGACAATAACTGTCACCTTCATTATGAGATCGTCGTGGCCGGACTGAGCAAAGCCGACGACCTCACCGTGAACGCACACCTGCACGGACTCGCCGAGATCGGAGAGCTCGACGACACCAGCGCCACGCACAAACGACTGCTGACGGGATTCTACGGATCACAGGTCAAAACATACACAAACTTATATATATTAGCATTTGCCTTATAGCGTACTGTGCAAATGTATGGATCTAGGAGATACAACACACACAATTATTGTTTACTATTCATTCTTTTGTAAATTGTCTTTGAGTATCCAAAAAGCACTATCTAAGTATTATGTATTATTATTATCTCATAGTCATAGTAGTAGCAGCCCTAGACGTAGCAGCAGTATATCGATAGTAGCAGTAGTAGCAGTAGCAGTACTATTAGTAGTAACAGCAGCAGTCATAGTAGTAGCAATAGGAATAGTAGCATTAGCAGGACCAGTAGTAGTAGTAGTATTAGAAGTAGCAGCAGTAGCATTTGCAATAGTAGCAGTAGCAGTAGTAGTAATACTGGACTCAGACTTAAATTTTAATAGCCACATCAAATCAGTAACATCAGCAGCTTTTTACCATCTAAAAAACATCGCCAGGATCAAAAACAGTGTCTAAAGCAGACTTGGAGATTCTTATCCATGCATTTGTCTCCAGCAGGTTAGACTACTGCAATGGCCTGCTCACAGGTCTGTCCAAACAGGCTGTAAAACAGCTGCAGTACATTCAAAATGCAGCAGCTCGAGTCCTGACTAGAACCAGGAAGTACGACCACATTAGTCCAGTCCTCAGGTCTCTGCACTGGCTTCCTGTGGCTCAGAGAATAGACTTTAAAACAGCTCTGCTTGTGTACAAGTCTCTCCATGGCCTCGCACCAAAATATATTAGTGACATGTTAGTCCCATATGAACCAGCCCGGACTCTGAGGAGCACAGGGACTGGACTCCTGTTAGTGCCCAGAGTCAGAACTAAACATGGGGAGGCTGCTTTTCAGATCCATGCTGCTAAAATCTGGAACAGTCTTCCTGAAGATGTGAGACAGGCCTCCTCAATAACAATGTTTAAAACCAGGTTAAAAACGGTGCTGTTTAGCTGTGCATACAACTGAGGGATTTTATATTTTTATCTTTCTTTTGATGATTTTAATGCTTTCTTGTTTTGTTCAGCACTTTGAGTTGCCTTGTGTATGAATTGTGCTATATAAATAAACTTGCCTTGCCTTGCCTTGCCTAGTAGTAGAGTTAGTGGCAGTAGTAATATTAGTAGTAACAGTAGCAGGACCAGTAGTAGCAATAGTAGTAATAACAGTAGTAGCAGTAGTATTAGCAGTAACAGTAGCAGTAGCAGTAGCAGTAGTAGTAGTATTAGCAACAACAGCAGTAGTATTAGTAGTAACAGTAGCAGTAGTAACAGTAGCAGTCATAGTCGTAGCAATAGTAGTAATAACAGTAGTAGCAGTAGTAACAGTAGTAGCAGTAGTATTAGCAGTAACAGTAGCAGTAGCAGTAGTAACAGTAGCAGTAGTAGTAATGCATTTTTCGCCTCTTCAGAACAATAGAGTATTTCTTTCACTGTGTACTTTTCAATGGCGTTGGATCATAAAAGGAACTGGATATGATTTCTACACCAGAAGGACCTGCCAGGGCAATAAACCTGTCACACTGACACATAGAAGTCCTCTGTTTATTTAAAACCGTACAAATTTCTCTTGCTTTTTTTGTTCTTATTACAATAGGCTCAAGGTGTTTTGAAAGACATGAGCTCTGAATTACTGCAACATCTGGACCAAGGAACGGCTTTCATCCAAGTCAGCACCAAGATGAACCCGAGAGGAGAGATCCGAGGACGGGTAAGAGAAACCCAAACACAAACGTAAATCATTTTCCGACGGTAAAAGTCTAAAATTACAAATAACGGTGAACGTGCATCATGGCTATCATTTTTTTCTTCCCTAAAGCAAGAACCCTGAAAACACCCACACAAAGAGAAAAAAAAAACAAAAAGAAAAAAAACAACGGACAAATAAACAAACAAATGAAATTAATATCAAATGAATTAATATAAATTTATTCTTGTATAGCACACAAAAAATACTCTTTAGGAATAAGCTTTTTATGTTTGGACGTTACGTATTTTGTAGTTTTATACACGTTTTAAAAATGGCTGCCATGTTCCATCAAATTTCCCGATTGAGCCCCTTAGCGTACACCTTGATTTTTCAACATGTAATTTTCTCAGTATGTCATTTATCCATTGCTCAGGCGGGGGTGGAGTTTCTTGTTTCCACTTCAAGATAACCGGATAAGATAAGAGTCAACGCTTAAAATACTTGATAACTATCAAAATAAATCCCAATCCCTAGTCCTTGCTTTTATTAATTCGTTTCAGGTCAATATAATAAATGCATTTCAACTATTTTCTTTTAGAGAGTTAGCGTGCAACGGTAGCAGTAGCATTAGCATCAGTGGCATTAGCATTTGTATTGTATTGCTTTTCGAACTCTCAAAGACGCTTGACATCGGATCTTTACGCGGGTGTTGGTTAGCTACTACCGAAGCCACGTTTGCCCTGAGGCAGACTGATACGAGGCTTCCAATCTACGGCATTTGTTTTCAACGGTAAATTCGAACGCTAACCTTAAGCCAAATCATCAAAACAAGAGCGCTACAAGCCGTGTCTTTATGTGTCTGCGTGTTGGCTCACAAACAGGTGCTAGAAGCTGCAAGGCATTTTATAAGCCAGGAAGTAAAAGTTTTATTGGGGAGTATTAAAACACATACACACACACACACACACGCACACACACGGGTTCTGCAGGTGAAGTGGTTGATGGGGTTTTGTGTCAGGTTCAACAGCAGTATCCAGCTGTTTTTATAGTTAGGGCCAAGACGTAAACAAAAATCTGGCAGCACAGGGACTTAATAACGCTCTATTCAAGTTATAATTCAATCTCGTAAAAATTTAAGACTGGAATAGAAGTCGATGGAAAACACAACCCGAGTGATTACTTGAATTACAAACATATTTATTTGAGGCGACTTGAGTAGTGCGATTATCAGTGGAACAAGCTGTTTACTATAAAACGAGAAAAAGAAAAAAACCTCTAACCACTTGTAACAAAATGGCCGCCTGTTGGCACGTACACAAACCATCTTGTTCCATCGGTCGATCCAGGGGAATTAACGTAATGTGCTTTGTATTGAAGTCATTTGAACTTATTAACTATATTATCTGTGGTTGTTGTGGAATGACTTTATATTTTTTACAAGACACCATTGTTATGAAATGCCCCGATTTTACTAGACAAGTGTGTGGTCACTGATCTTCACGTACTTTTTTTTCTTAGCAGATTTTTGTTTTGTTTTCTTCTGGGATGCTCATAGGATTCTGCAACATCAGGCAGGAATTTTGTTCCCAGTTCCAATTGTGAAATTGTGAAGACATGAAGGGACAATCGTGAAACAAAATAGTAAAGCCATCCGCCTAAACGTACAGTTGCTTTCTTCCAAAAACCTTGCTTTTATTAATTCGTTTTAGCTCAATATTATTATTAAATACAATTGTTATTTAGGGCGTTGGTATGCAACTGTAGCAGCTGCAGTGGCAATAGCAATAAAGCAGGAATTGTATTGCTTTATGAACTCTCAAAGACGCTTGACATTGGATCTGACAGTCTATAAGTTGGTTAACTACTATTGGAGCCACGTTTGCCCTGGGGCAGACTGACTGAAATTTGGACATGCGCAGTAGCGGAGAACAAACATAAACAACAATGGCGGCCGGTAAACTAACTAGCTTCGTGGGCTTCCAGTGCTGCACAGAGGATAATTCTACACCTTCTACACCAAACAAGACCACGTGAAGCTCTAGGTTCAGTTCCCATGTTCACAGCTGCTGTTAAAATGCAGAATGATGTTGGTGCGTTCTGAGGGTCTGGCACAGGAAGTGAGTACACTGCCGAGAGGGGGGGCTGGGCACGGGGCTGGGGGTCGTGTGTCGTGTTGTAAAGTTTCTCTGCCCACTACTGGCCGGGCACTAGAACTACATCGTTTTTCAACCTCATGTGAACGCTGAGAAATTTGCATTAGGAGCCAGGTCGTTTCTGTTAATAGCCTGGAAACGTCTGCGCAGCGTCTCAGTATAAACAGGGCCTTATACTGTCTGTGAGCAAAACTAATAGCTTGGAAACAATCTAACACTTCTTTTGTTTCTTCCTCTAGGTCCATGTCCCCAACAGCTGTGAGTTGGGGCAGAGGAGCGGCACAGAGGAGCCGGAGGTGGAGGAGGTGGTGTACAAAGACCCCGAGGAGCTGAAGAAGGACCCTCACACCTGCTTCTTCGAGAACTCGCACCACGCTCACGGCTCGCGCTGGACTCCCAACTATGACAAGTGCTTTTCCTGCAGCTGCCAGAAGAAAACTGTCATCTGCGACCCCGTGATCTGCCCCATCCTGACTTGCCCCAAGACGGTGCTGCTGGACGGACAGTGCTGCCCGCTCTGTGATGGTGAGCGGCATTTCATGGAACTAAAACACTCCTCAGGGATCAATGTATAAAGAAAAGACGTCTCTCAATATCTTTAAATAAATAGAGTTTTGGATTTAAGTGCAGTTGAAGTAACCTCTATTATCTCAGTAAATAGTAGTGGGCGAAGAGGGAAGCCTTGGCGTGTCCCTCTGCTATACTTAAAAGATCTAAAATTGTTAATTATGATTACAGTTTATGGATATTACCGATGTTTTGGGATATTATACAAGATATATCCTTTACCCCGCTCCCATCTCTGTGTGAAGTGAGAGGACAAGTGCCCAAAAAATAACAATTGTAAACCGCTTTGTGACTCTGGTCTGTGAAAGGCGGTATATAAATAAAGCTTACTATTTACTTACTTACTTTAAACTAGTTGTTTAAACACATTTGTAAAACCTCAAACAGAAATGTCCAATCAGGTTTCTATTTTAACATCAGTATAATTTTAGTCATTTGCATTACCTCTCTGCCTAATCCTAATTTTGGGAATTGGGCCACAACTATAATCATTTGGCAAATTCCGAGTTAAATTTAATTTATAATCTGTATTTACTTCTGAGTCATAAGATTTCAAGCAAGTGTTTGTTTTTCTGATTGCTTAACTCATCTTGGCACTTTTATTTATGATTATAGAGATTAAGAGATTAAGATGAAGAGATCCTTTATTCGTCCCACAGTTGGACAATTTCAGTGTTGCATCACAAGTTATTGAACAGTAGGAATGAGGAGCACACAGCACAAGATATGTGGACAATAGCTATACTGATTAAAATAAAACAAAATCTCTAACTCTAGCGTCAAAGGACAAGTATAAAATCTCTATCTTGAACATACTTAACATTATAAATAAATAATAATAAAAGAGTATAAAGTTTATAAATAGTAGATCTATGAATAGGTATCTTTCTTATTATGAAAAATTTCTTAAAATTGACTTAAATTGACGAATAATTTATTTTCCCAGACAAGAAAGAGCCGAAAGACACAAAGACCACAGATAAAGCTGCCGAGAACCCAGAAGGTATGTGCATCGTATCAATCTCGCTTATTCTGCACATTGCAAACATTTTTCATCCCCTTTCTCTAAAAAACATAATTTGTCATCACCTCTTATTTTTCTTCTCTGTCTTCAGGCTGTTACTTTGAAGGAGACCAGAAAATGCACGCACCAGGAACCACATGGCACCCATTCGTTCCTCCTTTTGGCTACATCAAATGCGCAGTCTGTACTTGTAAGGTAAATACCAGATCTGCCGTAAAAGATAAAGCCAAATAATACAAGTCTTGTTCTTCAAAATATAGTACTTGGCTAATGCTGCTTAAAGTAAATCAACATGTTATTGTGTTCTCAGGATTAATTGTTGTTATAGTTCAATTGATTCGGTTCTTTTGGTTGGAAATCTTTTACATTCATTACGCCACTGCTTTGCTGATCCCCGCTTTGCAGAAAACCAAGAAGTTCCCTGAATTTCCCTTTGTTCATTTGTTCCCCCTTAATCGGTGATAAACCCAGGATTTAGCCATGTCACGCAGGCAAGATGGAGGAAAAGGGCTTCTGGTTATGGAGATCTGCTGCTGTGTCTGCGCTGTTGTCATGACGACGTGGAAGTCAACAAACTTGCGTCTTTGCTTAAGTTGTTTTAGATCAAAATGAAGATGATGTTCAACTGTGTCTTAGCTTTTAACTATTAGTTCAATGTCATTTTGTATAGCACTAAATCAATCAATCAATATTTATTTGTAGAGCGCACAAAGGCACAAATCATCACATAAAACAAACACCATTATAAAAACTATTAAAATCACACAAGGGATTAAAATGATAAGTGCATTGAAAAGAGTAGAGATAGAACCCTCTTTAACCTGGATTTGAACATTGTCAAAGAAGAGGCATGTCTCACATTTTCAGGAAGACTTTCAGATTTTTGCTGCATGAATCTGAAACTGGGCCTCCTCATGTTTAATCCTGACCCTAAATGGTCTTGGAGGACTTTGTCAATTCCTCAACACAGATCAGAGAATCAAAAGGTACAAACACAATAATATAGGTAGAAACGGCCTAGCAACCAAAGAGCCAATCAGGATATAAACAATTTTACTTGTCAATGTGAGTGAACGGAGCCAAAGGGAGTTGGAGCAGAACCTCGTCCATGAGCACTTCTCTACTGGGGTTCATTGAGCTAGAGGGGTTAGCGTTGTCCATCTATACACAGTCCATAGTCCTAATCTGTCATATAGTCTTGAACTCTTTGCTCTAACAGTCTCTGCTTCCTGTTTTTCTCCACCAGGGTTCGACTGGCGAGGTGCACTGTGAGAAAGTGACCTGTCCCGCTCTGACCTGCAGTCATCCTGTACGACGAAACCCCTCCGACTGCTGTAAGGAGTGTCCCGAGGAGGAGAAGGTCCCGGCTCTGGAGCACAGCGACATGATGCAGGCTGACGGCCCTCGACACTGCAAGTTTGGCAAAAACTATTACCAAAACAGCGACAACTGGCACCCACGGGTCCCTCTGGTGGGAGAGATGAAGTGCATCAACTGCTGGTGTGATGTAAGTGTTATTGGATCACAAAAATGCAGAAGCAGTGGTAGTATTTTGAGACATACAGGTTGGAATTAATTAAAATATGGACTCTTAGTGGTGTAATAAATTGTTGATGCTTACATTTCAATTGTGTAGTGCTTTAAAAAGAACAGACAGAGCCAAGACCAGCAATATTTCACCAAACAAACTGGCAACCCAAATGAGAGACCTGTAAGGCTTTCTGATTGGATGACCTGCTTCAAAATTGTTAACATGAATATCATGGCTATCATGTCAATTGTATTATACTGTATACAATACGATCTATAAAGTAGAGTGAGTAGTACTGTAGTAGCAGGAGTAGGTCTGCAGTAGGAGTAACGCCACTTTTTAAAATCCCCCAATAGTAGTAGCAAGAGTAGTAGCAGGAGTAGTAGTAATAGTACTGGTAGTAGTAAAGTAGGAGTAGAAGTAGAAGTAGTAGAAGTAAAATAGGAGTAGTAGTAGCAGTAGTAGTAATAAATCATAATACACATTTCTACATAATAAAAAAAAACTGGTTTTGCTTCTGGGAGTCACAACGACACTTCATCACATATTGTTGTAAATTCCCCTTTTCTGACCAAATTGAAAACAAGATTTTGTTCTGGTTTCATTTCAACAACATGTTAAACAACGACAACTGGATTTTATTACATTTCACAATTTAGGAAAAAACTAAGCCACTTCTTCTTTGTCCCTTTGTTTATCGCCGGTCAGAAGATTTTTCGTTGATTTCCCACAAGACAATAACATTTGGCTAGCTTAGCATGTTTTGATATGGTAATGGCTTGCAACTGTTATATATTTGACAGTGGTCTTAACAAAAAGCCACAAACAACATTGTGTTTTTGTCAATATTTGTGCAATTATGAATCTATTTTTCTTTTTATTTGCAGCACGGAGTCACAAAATGCCAACGAAAGCAATGTCCGATATTAACTTGCACTAGCATCACCCGGAAGGAGGGCGCTTGCTGTCCCGAATGCACTGGTAAGCAATCAATCTTTAGCTACTATTTCATTACAAAATTGTATTGGAATAATGTATGACCTGTATTTTAATTCTTTTCCCCTTTTTCTCCTTTCTAGACCCCATAGAAGACGACGATATTGTAATGAAAACTCCAGACAAGAGACAAAACTGGAGACACTGACCACTCGGAACGCCATTTTTTAAAATCCCCCAAAAAGGACTAAATTATAGACTTTATTTCAACACGGATCCACACTTGGATATGCACAGTGGATCCTGACTCCTTCCTTCAACTTTTTACCCACCCGAAACCAGCTGCAGGATTGTATGGGGGGGGGGGTTTGGGCAGCAGAGACTGGACTCTCCAAAGACTTGAGTAAAATAGTAAAAAGCTACAAATGGGACCAAACGGTGTCGCCAACTCTGCTATGTCCGAAAAGACGTTTTTATCTGACGAAATGCAGAATTGGCATGAAAGCAAAATGTAAAAATGTTTGCGTGATTGTGTGTGTGTGCGCGTGCGTGTGTGTGGGTGTGTATGTGCGTGTATGTATGTGTGAAGTACTATCAGTAGTGTACAGTATGTGGTTGTAAAGTCCAAAGTTTTGTAAGTAGATTTGTTTAAACATGTATTCATAGAGCGGTGTCCGGGCAGAGATAATGAAACTGAAAGGAAAATGTCTCTCGTTGCTTCTGCGCATTAAAAAACAATGTCCTTATTTTTGTTTGGAAATTCTGTTTTTGTTCAGATGGAGTCGATTTGTATTTATTGAAAGCTGTGGAGACAATAAAAAACGTAAAATATCGTTTCATTTCATGTAGTTATTATTGATGTTTTTGTGCCTTTAACTCATGGTTGGACAATTGCATAAAAAAAAAAAAAAAAAAGATGATGACTAAGAACATGATGCTCAAAGGCAGTAGGGGAATTTATGGAATCCAACCCCTTTAGAATGATCTAATATGTATATTTACATGATATTTCCGGAAAATTCAACATGCAGATTAACTTCACTCAATTATAGAATATATAGACACTTCCAAAATTATAAACAAAAGTATAGTATAATTAGTAGTAACACAAGTTTCAATACCTCTCGTTGAAAAATAGGTTCTTAATCTCAATGGGACTTCCCTGGTTAAATAAAGGTTAAGTAAAAAAAATATTAAAAAAATAACGAAATATTACAGTTTAGTGTTGGACTGTGTTACTATTATTTTATTACTTGTATTATTAATGTGTTTGTGCAGGTTTTTGAAACACGTGTAATGTGTTTGCGCCACAGTTTGCACATGTTCAATAAATAATCTGGGGTCATTAGTGTAAGTGTGGTCCGTGGAGATCATTCCGACAAAGCTTCAGTGCTGCTCGTGTTTATGTTTTCTTCCCATCTTTACTCTTCTTTATTTAGATCCAGGACAAACAGCTCTGTTCCTGTAGCATCTCTGTGTTCCAGGTCCAGGTCACCACATGTGCATCTCTCTGTGCTCACACACGTCAGCGCACAGATGTAAACACCGCTCTCCACGTGGGGCCCGTATATATTAATCAAACAGCGACCTCTGCTGGTTACAACACGTCATTACAGTAGATTTAATTTGGCCCTGATCTATTGTCCCGTTCAATTCAATTCAATGTATTTTTGTAATCTCGGAGGACATAACACAGTTGTCGATTCGCCAGCATAGATCAGAGAATCAAACATTTCAAACAAACAGGTGATAACAGAGGTGGGACAAAGTCATTGTTTAGCAAGTCACAAGTCAGTCTCAATTCATTGCCCTCAAGTCCCGAGTCAAGTCACGAGTCAAGACAGGCAAGTCCCGAGTCGAGTCCAAGTCAAAGGCCAACAAATCTCAAGTCAGTCCCAAGTCCTACGGTTTGACTTTCGAGTCCTCTCGAGTCTTTTTGACCGCGATTTGTTTCTTGTTGGTCTCCACGTACTTTTGTAGGCAAACAAAATAATGTTAGGAATCATTTTGCTGGTGCATTCTCGTTGGTCTCTGACCCATGGACTAACAGTTTGTTCCATGTCGTTGGCTGCTGGTAAATCAAAACTATCTACGTGATCTAATTGGATGTTGTGCCAGATGCAGGCTCAGTTACACATGCACATACCACACATAAAATCAGAGCAGTCCATGTCAACATACTTTTTATCTTTGGGGTTTTTAATGGGAAGTAGCAAGTGCAGCAGTGCAGCATATATGAATATGAGTATTGGGCTAGGACCTGTATCTATATAATCAGTTTAATGTCCGTAGTGGTTATTGTTCCAAAGGACTGAAGGGACCAATGGAGGGGAAGGACCCCGGCCTGTATGAACTGGGCCAGCATTAGTAATATCTCATAATTACCAATATATCATTACATAATAAAATGTCTCATATAAATTAATTCAATCAGTCAAAGCACTGATTCTCATATCAATGCACCATAAACAATAGTGCAAATATTAATCTAGCTTAGTGCACATAATCAAAACAACTATCTAATGTATGCAAACTTTAGCAGGAGGAGCACAGCAAAAACATACTCATAATAATAGGCCTCGGCGCCCACACAGAAAAATATAAGAAATAGCCAACAGAGCAGCGCAGGCTAGCGCTAGTTTGACTCACCAGTTCCTCTTTAAAACACGACACACAGTGTGACAACTGCGTCGATTCAATTGTATGAGGCGCCTGTAGTGAAAGCATATCAATTACGGTTTGTAGAACAAAATATGACGTTAGGTTGCGATAAATACCTGCAGCTCGCTCATTTCCAGCTCCCCTAGACAACACACCCACCGGTGAATGTAGTCCGCTTGTTTAGGGAAGTGTTGCTGCGCGAACTGCGGGGAACTCACGTTCGAACTCTCTCGCGAGCGCTACAACTACCGCGAGGCTTTGTTTCTTCAGAGACGGCATAGATAGAAAGAGAGATGCGGAGAAAGGTAAAAATGGCCCGGGTGACGCAAGTCTTTGCAAGTCAATTGGCGCAAGTCCAAGTGAAAGTCAGAGTCATTGATGTTAAAGTCCAAGTCGAGTTGCAAGTCTTTTTACATTTGGTCAAGTCGAGTCTAAAGTCATCAAAATCATGACTCGAGTCTGACTCGAGTCCAAGTCACATGACTCGAGTCCACACCTCTGGGTGATAACATTCACCGGTAAGGGAAATACTCATGTTAGTAGTTTACGGACTTTAAAGGTGTAAGAAATAATAAGAAATAATGTGTACACACGTTTAAAACTGAACTAGAAAAAAATAGGTTTCAAGCGGCGCCCGTATGTGAAAGTTGCAGCTAAGCAGGGCAGGGCCTTGATATTATTGTGATAGGAGACCTCTGGGAACAGCTGGTGCTATAGTGGGGCGGCTGTAAAGTGCCAAACTGCTCTTGTGTTTTTAGGCTAGACCCTCCACCTACTTGTCTGGAACAAATCTGGTGTGTGAATGGTTGGTGGTAGTTGTATTGGCCCGTGGCACAGATTGGTTGTCTCGCTTATGCAGCCAGCGGAAGTTCAATTTGGTAGACGTCAGCCAAAGGTAACCCCTCCAGGCCGGTTCTCATCCCCAGCCTATCGCACAGCAAACGCCCCCTTCCAATCACCGGTCCAGCCAGGCAAGCCGCTTAAAAGCGGAGGAACTCCCATTCTCGGCCTTCTCGAAGCCTGCAATGAATCGTTCTGGAGGAATCGCTTTTGTCTACTCACGCTTACTCCTGCGGTCCCTGCTGTCCTCTGTCTTGCTGCGTGTGGTCTGCTCTTCCTCCGCGTCGCTGCACCTGCTGCGGGTCTCGTGCTGTGGTCCGTGGGTCTTTGCCGCTCTCCTCCTTTGCGGGCTCTTTCTGCGGGTCCGCCGCTGCTCGTCTCGTCGCGGCCTGCTGCTGCATACGGCCGGTCTGGACCGGTGCGGTGGGAGCCGTGCGCATCCCTGCCTCCTCGTGCCGGTACGGCGTGGTCCCGTTGTGTTGTCCCTTGTCTTCTGTCGTTGTGGGTAAGTATGAGACCTGCGGACGGTTTATTCCCCTCGCATTGTTCTGCAGGCTCAGTTGGCCCCGTGCATTGGTGGGCATGCTTCAGTTTAAAGCCCTCGCATTGTTCTGCAGGCTCAGTTGGCCCCGTGCATTGGTGGGCAAGCTTCAGTTTAAAGCCCTCGCGTTGTTCTGCAGGCTCTCTTAACCAAGCTTCGTTTAAATCCTTCACTCTGACTGCAAGCTCCGTTATTCCTCACATTGGACTGCAAGACCTCAGTTTAATCCCTTACATTGGACTGCGTGCTCTCAGTTTTAATCCCTCACTTTGGCCTGCAGGCTCTCTTTAAATCCCTCTCTGGACTACGAGCTCTGTTTAAATCCCTCTCTTGGACTGCAAGCCCCGTTTGAATCCCTCTGGACTGCGGCTCCCAAATTGAATCCCTCACATTGGACTGCGAGCTCCCAGGTTAATCCCGCACGGATCTGTTTATATCTGGAACTGCTTATATCTGGAGCTGTTATACCGTACCCGGAACTGCTTCATGCGGAACTGCTTATATATGGAACTGCTATGTATGGAACTGCTTATATATGGAACTGCTTATATATGGAACTGCTTATATATGGAACTGCTTATATATGGAACTGTATATATGGAACTGCTTGTATATGGAACTGCTTGTATATGGAACTGCTTATATATGGAACTGCTTATGGAACTGCTATATATGGAACTGCTTGTATACGGAACTGCTTATATGGAACTGCTCATATTGGAACTGCATATATGGTACTGCTTGTATCTGGAACGCTCATATATAAAAATAAATAAATATAAATAAATATAAATAAATGTAAATATGAATAAATATAAATATAAATAAATATAAATAAATAAATAAAAAATAAAAAAACTGCAGGCTCTGTTGGATCCATCCCATCGTTTAACTCCCTCACACCGGACTGCAGGCTCTCCGTTAAACGCCTCACTTGGACTGCGGGCTCAGTTTTAATACCTCATTTTGGACTGCAAGCTCTATTAAATCCCTCACATTAGACTGCAGGCTCTGTTTAGGTCCCTCGGCGCCTAGTGTCCCGCAACCTCTTCCCGGCTCTCCGTGAGCCCCAAGTCGGCACGCGGCTCGGGCGCGGGAGGTGTCCGGGGGCTACGTCATTGACCCCTTCTCTCCGTCTCGCTCTAACCCGATGGGCATCGCCACCC